GATAGATAGATAGATAGATAGATAGATAGATAGATAGATGGATAGATAGATTTTCACATCAGATGTTTTTAAACCAGTGCAGAATTTACCCTGAGAATCTCTGTTTAACAGGAGTATACTGTATCACATAGATGAGGAATGTTGTTTTGCGATTCATGAGGTTTAGTATGACTGCCAGTGGCATGATACTTGGCCAACAAGCACAAATATCTTTCTCCTAAACACACACACATATATATATATAATTCTTAAGGTTATATGGACACTGCAATGTAAGTAGAACAGAAGAGGGAAAACAGAAAAAAGGAGAAAAGATGAAATAAAGAGGACATAAAAGGGAGATAATAATAAAGCATTTTCAGTCTGCTTCATCACCTGCAAAGAGATGTAAAAAGAACAGCACAACCAATGGACATGGTACGAGACATACAATAAAGTAACACCTAGATACTATCGCTGAAGTTTTATTATTTAATCTGACATGTACTCTGTGTTACCTGAAGATAAGAATATGGGCTTTCTGTATGGAAGTGAATCTCTGAGTACCTAGAACCACTGGGTTTAAACTTAAAGGGTAACTCACCCCAAAATCGAAAATTTTCTTGTAATTTCAATTCAACTTAATTTCAATTCAGTTTATTTATATAGCGCCAATTCACAACACATGTCATCTCAAGGCACTTTACAGTTCACCAGATCAAATAGTCAAATTGATTCAAAGTTTTCTATCTAAGGAAAACCAGTTGATTGCTTTGACTCATTGACTCGAATGCAATCCCTCACACTAAGCATGCTTGTAGCGACAGTGGAGAGGAAAAACTACCTTTTAACAGGAAGAAACCTCCAACAGAACCAGGCTCAGTGTGAGCGGTCATCTGCCGAGGCCGACCGGGGTTCAAGGAGACAGAAGCAGAGATACAAAAAGCAGCTGTAAATAACCATTATTTTGACAGGGTACAGCAAATTTGTTGCAATCATGTTTTTGCATCTAAATCCATCCTCATGTTTAATAAGTGTACAGCGTCTGATTTTGAATCTCTACAGGTGGTGGCTTTAGAGTTATTATAATGCTTCCCAGATAAACAAGGAGCTCTGCTGGGTGCCACTATGTGCTGTAAAAGAATTGCTCCCCTATTAGCTAGTTGGAGTGTGTGTAGCTGTAGATCAAAGTTTTTGCAGTTTCACTGTAAAATCATTCAGAAGCTGTACCTTTTCTGTTGTCTGATAGTTTAGTAGGCATGGCCACACAGATGGCCTCATGTGTCTCAGGGGTTCAAACTGGTATGCCTCAATACCCCTTTTTCTTATGTCCCTATAGTGGAAAAAAATCCTCCATCACATATGATTGCTGAATTTGTCTAAAAATGTTCCTCTCTGTAATCATTTTCCAAGTTTGTGTCACTGTCACATTGCTGCCATCAACCTCTCTGTTAATCACAGCTGAGACCACGCCCAGCCCTCTCTTATTCGGGTGCTTTCCTCAAACAATAGATGTGGGCAGAATATAAGAATCTGGAAAGGAGCCATTTTTTTTTTTTTTTTTTTGAGTAATGCAGAGATTGCTTTCTTTGAACCATAAAGTTAGAACTGAAGTTGCAGTAGCTGACCACTCATAATCAGTCTGGAAAGATTACAAGATCTTACAAACTTTAACTCCTTGAATTTTTTTTTGTATGGTTGATTTCATATTTGTAAGAAAATTTTTATTTACCGCTTGCATACCATAAAAGTGCTGTATTCAGCTTTTGGTGCTTTAGAGAAAGGAAAACGATGTGATTGCACGAGGTGTACTGCTTGTATATAGATTATGGAACTAGCTGGAAATCCTAAATGAGAACTGCTGCTTTTAGATTTTCTGTGATAATTCAAAAAACAGCTTGGGTAATTGCAATAAATAGGCCATGTTTTTTTTTTAAATAACATTGTAATTTTAAATAACTACTGAAAATCTTTTGTGAAAAAATATTGTGATTCAATCCTACCCCAGTCCTTTTTATAAACCTCTGCTTTTGTATTCTCCTGAAATGTTTTATGACAAGGTAGAAAATAATAAAAATAAACTGTTTTGATGAGATAAGTTAGAAATCTTGCAAATGAAAATAACAAAAAACTGAAACAATGCAATTATATATACTCAATAATCTGAGCAGTTTCATAAAACTTATGTGATGTCACTAAAGGCAGCTGGATGGAAACTCCTTTTTAATATGGTCTATTTATACCCGATGCATATGATTTCCAGCAGCAAATCTAACAGGAAAACTTAGCATTATGAAACACTGTCCTATCTGACCATTAATATCTAAAGTGAGGTTGATTAAGTTCACAGGAATGTCTGGCTGGTTGCTTTAATTCTAAACTACACTAAAAAGGTTTGAATCTTAAAAGGGGGATATCAACCTCCTTATATGGATAAAATGGAGACTTTAACCTCCAAGGCTTTTTTTATTTAAACATGATTTTGATAGGCAGTGCAGTTAAACTTTTAACTTAAAAACAGAAATGCATAACTTGATGATTTTCCTTAATCTATTAGTTTTAAGTGCAGTGTTCATACTGAAACTTACTAAACTCTGAAATAAATGTTTTCATTTCATATACAAATCTGACTCTATAGACATCATTCCATGTATTTGTTGGTTTCAGTGGTCAAAAATATTAAATGGAAGTTTTATTAAAGGGGCTGCATGGTGGCCCAGTTTGTAGCACTGTTGACTTGCATCAAGAAAGTTCTGAATTTAATTCCCGGCTCAGGGTCTTTCTGCATGACGTTTGCAGGTCCCCCATCGTGCATCCATGGGTTCTCAACTGAAACTCCATCTTCCTCCCACAGTCCGAAAACATGAGTTAGGTTTATTGACATCTAAATTTCCCTAAGTGTGTGTGTGCATGGTTGTGTGTGTCTCTTTGTGTTATCCTGTGATATACTGGCAACCTTTCTGGTCTGTACCCCGCCTTTTGCCCATAGGCTGTTGAAAATATGCACCAGCCCCACCGCAACCCTGACGGATGAAGCGTAAGAAAATGGATGGTTTAAAAGTATCTTTAACGTTGAATAATTAGAAATAACAATACAAGTAACAGTTATGACTACCCTAAATCTTCTGTTAAAGTTATTTATGACCATACTATGCTGCTGTTATTTGAAAATTAGCTTGTTTTTATTAGCAATATGAAAATTTTGCTTTATGTGTTGATTTCCTTAAATCTGCAGTAGAGTTTCATTTTTATGCTAAAAGCTTTTATTTAAATATGTCTGATACTATATATGTAATATTGTCTGGTTTTTTAAGCTAAGAGTCCTTGACTTAGTTTTACTGAAATTATTTTTTGGCCTCATGCCCACTCACCCCTAGATTTTCACCCACAAAAAATGCTGAATTCCAAAGCTCCTTCCAGGAACATTCCTGGAAATGTCTCTCAGAAATGAATAGCTGTTGAAATGCCCCATTATTTTGCCCTTTTACTTTCCCCATATCATCAGCCTTCAATCTTCTAGAGGAACCCGTGCCAATTTCTTTTGAAACAACATGACTGACTGTAAAATGTTCCAGCTTTTATCTAGCAGCATGTTTTGCAAGTATAATATCCATATGGAAAGTAGTTCCAGCTATTACATTTATTCTAGAGGGAATAAAGGAATGACTGCAGCAGCATGTCACATCCCTGAAGAAATCCACTATTGTGGTTTTCGCCACAGGTCACTGTTGGTTAAGCTGTTGCGTCTGTTTTAAGGCTGTTACACATGCCTTGCATGTCTGTGTCTGTATGGCATCTGTTCTTTGGGATCTTAGGTATTTGAACCTCCACTATTACCCACACAAAAGTCATTTGTGCTGCACAGGATACAAAATAACAGCCTGACATGATGCCACAGTTTGGTTTTACTCAACATATATCCCAATCTCAAACCTACAGAGGATACTTCTTCACTCAATAACTCTGTTTATAAGAGACAAATAGTTGCCTAACAGTCTCAGAAGGCCAAACCATAGCTCACTTTGATATGGGTGTCAGAGAAATGCTCAGTTTTGCTTTCTTTAAAAGATAATTCTCTAATTTGAAGGAACAAGACGAGTAACTATTTATCATGTAAGATGATAAAACCAAACCAGCGCTAAGTTTAATGTGTTAAACACGACTCTGACTCATGCCCTTTATATAGCAAAGGTTTCTGTTACAACATGCTAATCATATTTTATTTCTGTCCAACACAGAGAGTTGAATACATGCTTTCAAAACTTTAAGAATAGATAACTCTAATGCTCTGCTTTCTGGGTTTCCCATAAAGAGTATAATTTCTCTGTGATGGGAAAAGCCACACAAA